ATGATGATGATGGTGATATTGATAGTGACAATAATGATGATGATGATGATAAGAATGATGGAAGTAGTAATATTGTTGTTATTATTGTTATCATCATCATCATTATCATCATCATCATCACCACTATGATCATTATCATTATCAGTATCATTATCATTATCATTCTTATTATCATTTTTAGTATTATCATCATCGTCACCTTCATTTTAATTTTTTATTTAAATTTTTATTATTATTATTGTTGTCATCATCAATATTATGATTATTATTGTTATTTTTATTATGGCATTATAATAGTAAAGTACATTGTAGTTTATATATGCCTGTGTGATATATAAAAATATTTGTAGTTCAGATTTTTACTCATTATCAGCATATTGTTAGTGTTAGCGTTTTGCTGATTTATCTTCAATACATTACCCCTTACCATCTTTATTTCGTCAGTTCCAGCCAAGTACCACGTCCTCTTTGATGATGCCGAGACTCGGCTGACTGCCATGTTCGTGGAAGATAGATCTACCATTAATGTGGTAACGCGGCGGTCCGAAGCCATCGAAAACAGCCGGCACTCCCCCAATGGATTTATGCATGCTCCTGCTCCCGTTTCCTCTGCCCCCTCCTCAGCAGTAGCGCATGGGTATGGCATGCGCAAGCAAGCAGTGGTAAATCCGGCTCCTCAAATGCAACAGATGCAGCAAGTGCGGGTAAATTACAGATTATTATTATTATTTTTTTTGCTTTTTTAAAAGATTAGTAGTAGTATTATAAAGACTCAGTTTGATTTTTTATTTATTTATTTATTTATTTATTTATTTATTTATTTATTTATTATTATTATTTTTTTATCACTGAAGTATATATACTTACTTCATTATTTTGTAATTTCCTTCAGCAAGAATCAGGTATGTCTGCCCTTGGTGCTTGTGCTCTGAGCGGCTCCTTGTCACACAAATACAACCCAGAAAACCTAGACCACGGGAATTCGCGAATCAGCCACCAGCCAGCGTCGCCTAAAGTCCCGGAGACGTTACTCAACCCCAAGCCAAGTGCCCCTACTCTAGGCAACATGCGTCCTATGGTACCCATGCACCAGCAGCCAGTGATGCACATGGAGAAGAAAATCAACAATGATGAAGCCCTTGGGTAAGATAAACTGTAATGTGTCTTTTTGATGTTTTTCTTTTCTTTTTATTTTGTGAAGATTGTTTTTGGATGTTTTATAAGTAAGATGATAGGCAATATATCTTTCTAGATATGTATGATATACATTTCATATAATCCAATACCAAAAACGAAGGTGATCTTATGTTGCGTCTCAAAAAATTGTTGAGTATTGACATGATTTTTTAGAATTTCATAACATTAATGTTATTTTTACTATGCTACAGTGGAACTTATTCATGGAGACATCTGAAAGGTGACTGAATATTGTACTATGTTAGTTACTTGTTAACTTTGTAACACATAAGCCTTTATAAAGTATTGAAAGCATGTAATTTAAAAGGAAATCCATACTAAGTCCTCGACATCCATACTAAGTCCTCATGTAGGTGTATGCAGTCTGTATCACTTGATATTTTCCATGATCCTGTAAAAGCTGTTTGTTATGTCCCTATAATCCCCTTGTTTTAGAATATAAATAGGAGTGAGTAAGGAAATAGTTAGATATTGGTGAATAATACTGTTGATAAGATTATAACAATTTGCAGTAGTCTAAATGAAAGCCACACCTATTATAGAAGTCATATTAGCCGTATGTCTCATAACATAAAACTGTGAATCTAAATGTAGAGTCCCTACCCTATGTGTTTTAGGGATATTAGTGTGAATTTGTGCATGAATTTTTGTAGATATACATTGCAAAGCCATGTAAAGTAAGGTAAAGTAATATTGTGTTATTATTATTATTTTTTTTTTGTATAATGGGCAATTAAAACAGGTTACATTGAATTAGTGCATAATATAACCAGTCATTGTCATAAATCAGGAAAGGAGTTTGTGTTAACCTTTTATCTTTTATTATTCTTAAGATTTGTTAATTAGTTATTGTTACATGTGTTAAATTTGCCAATCAGGTGATACATTGTAGTAATTGTGGTTTTTATGTTTTAATTACATCCGGCTTGCTCATTCAGGTCTTCAGATTCGTTAGTGCAGATTCTGCCGTTAGCTGTCTGTTTTTTTTGTGTTTGTAGTTTTTATATATTTTGGCATAATTTTTGCAAGAATAAGTATTTTTAAGTTTTAGTCATTGTTAATCGGTCCAAAGGTTTGATGGTATTTATTCATTCAATAGTTTTTAATGTGTAATGGAGGCTAAAGAGAAAATGTCCCTTTTCCCACAGCATATGGGGTGAAGTATCCTGCGATGACAATAACAAGTCTTTGCCCAAGTATGACTTTGATCAGGAATATGCCGACAGAGTAAGTTGTTGTTTTAGTTAAAATAAGAAATAGCATCGGTTTTATTTAAGTTTGTGAGCTATCAGTAAGTTTTGCTTTGATATTTATTTCCTGATATGGTTAATGATCAGTATCCTGGTTTTGTTAGTTCAAATTATGTAGCAAAAGGATTTTTCTTTCATTCTTTTCTTTTCTTTTCTTTTTATGTTTTTTAGTGGATGCTGTGAATGAGCCTGGAGGGTTGCAGCAATATGCAATATACAGAATACAATAAATATAGAGACATAGTGACAGATTGAAAGTAGTAGGCAAAACCTTGCCTTAAAGAAATGACAAAAAAATGCATTTTCATTATTTAATATTTCAATTTGATTGCCTGCAGGTTGCAAGGAAACTGGGGATAGATGGAAGGGATCAGTTGAGAACGGACAGCAATAATGGCATCGTGCCGCATCACCCTAGAAGGAAAGAAGAGTCCTTGGGCCTCGGATCGTCTCCTGGGCAAGCCAGTTCATTACCCCAAGCCCAGGCCGCAGAGTTGAACGGGAACGAACGGCTGCGGAGAATATCCTGTGAGTGATTGCCCCGGGTGCTAAGTCCTGTTCACTGGTGTTATAGGGGTTGTTTGTATCATTGCATGTGCGATGGACTAAAGGTGGTCTGGTAGTACAGTTGTGAATAGATCTTGCTATTTTTGACATGTGTATTGGTTATGTGTGCACTTTGGGACCAGTAGGGTAGTGGCCTTTACTTGCCTTATATAAGTCCTTTGAGGGAAGGCCTAGTTCTTGTGAGTATGGGAGTATATGACATAAAGCATACTGTCATGACATTGAAGAAGAAGAGAATAAGGAGGTGTATGGCTAAGTCTTCTAACCTTGTATTTATTTTATAATATTGGGGGAGAGAAGTGAAGGCCAGTAAATTATTTGTTCTGTGCTTTTTTAAAAGTATTATGGTGGTTAAAATGAGACATTGTCTAAAAATTCTATCAGCTGACTTTATAGTCTAAGAACAATGGATATGGATGATTAATTACAAATAACATGAACAGAGTAAAGCACTAATGCTCAATTTTCTGAGTTTAGTTTTTGTGCTGAGCCAGTTGATAGATGGGCCACTACACCAAAGTAGATACCAGACCTGGCTGACAGAAAACATTTGATGTAACACTATCAGTTTTTATGATATTTGAGTACATTTATTTACTCAGAGCTAGGAGACAATTACATATAAGATATTTATTTATTTATTTTTTTTTTAAACTAAATTTTGTTTTACCCCATTTCAGGTAATTCAGATACTGCAAATGAGTGTAATGTACCTGTGATCCCCTACAAGGAGCTAGAAGAAGCCACAGCAGTATGGAACACAGATAACCTCCTGGGACGTGGCGGCTTTGGGACTGTTTTCAGGGGCACTTGGAAGAACACCCAGGTGGCCATTAAAAGGATTGACCCGGTAAGGATTTTGGACCTGGAACGTGACTGGTTTGTGACTCGGAATTAATCTTTTTGCTGAGTTTTATGTATGCGTATGTATCTATAATTCTTTACTTTCCTTTCATGCTTAAAAAGAAAGAAAGAAAAAAAAAAATGTGTACAAGATGCAATTCATTGATGTAAAAGAAACAGCTTGAAGTTTTGAAGTTTTATGTGAAGGAAGTAGATGAGGAAAGAGTGCAAATCAGAATGCAGTCTTAGAGTTTAGGATGATATTCTGTAATTGCATTGTTAGATATTTATTCCTAATGTGTTTTCAGCAAGGGAATGTCGCACTAGATAGCAAGCAACTACATGTTACACAGAGTTTTGACGAACTAAAACGTCTGCAGTCCTATCGCCATGATAACATCTTACAGGTAATCTTTACTGTTTTTTTTTTTCCCCTTCCTTCCTTCCTATGTACCTGTGTTCCTGCTCATTTGAATTCCAATGACGATAAAGTGTTTTATTATGATTTGGCATCCTGTTATAAATCTTTGTCATTTTCCAGGTTTATGGCTATTCAGCAGATCCAGATCAGCCTCTGTGTTTGGTGTATCAGTATATGCCAAATGGTTCTGTAGAAGACAGATTGCAGTGTAGGGTGAGTTAGGGATAGGTATTGTTGGTATTCTGATAAAGTCCTTGTAATTTTTGTTTTTTTTTTCTTATTTTTTTTTTCTTTCAAGCGGTGAGGGAATTTTGCAATCTTGCAAATGATTTTTCACCTGTGTACTTATGTTGACTTTCTTTGAATATAGAGGATCGGAGGAAGTCCCACGAAAGCTCTCACGTGGTGGCAGCGGTACAGAATAGCCTGGTGCACGGCCAGAGGGCTCCAGTATCTCCACACCGTTAAAGACAAACCGTTGATCCATGGAGATGTTAAGAGGTATTTTTTTGTTTTTCTTTTCTTGTACCTTCTTTACCAACTCTTCATTTTTAATATTAGTGTATTTGTAGTGTTGTGTATATGTGTATTCATGTAAGATGTGTCTGTAGCTATACATTGTCTTACAGTAGTTATGCCTTTAAACTCGATTTTGGGATTTGATGTAAAATGTAATTGCCTCGTACCTTACAGTGCGAACATCTTATTAGACCAGAACTACGAAGCAAAATTAGGAGACTTTGGACTAGCCAGGGAAGGGAAGAGCCAAGTCACAAGTATGAAGGTGAGGATTTTGATTTTTGTTTCTTGTCTGGCATTAAGCCCATTCTTTATGTATGTATGTATGTATCTATCTTTTTATCTATCTCTATCTATCTATCTATCTATATTTATAGATAGATATGTATATATGTATATATGTATATATGTATATATATATATATATTTATGTATATATTTATGTATATATATATATATATATATATATATATATATATATATATATATATATATATATATATATATATATATATATATATATATACACGTATGTATGTATGTATGTATAAATTTCAAAAGGACAAACTGCGTGCTGTGAGTCATTATTTTGCCACTTGTGCTGCTTTCCACACTACTTTCTGTGAAATAGGATGTTATTGGACATTATACAAACATTATATTACATAGCTGTATGAGATACTGTAGTGTACCTGTTTTAACTAAATGGAACTAGCTTTGCTGCCTTTGAGAGCCATGATGCATTTCACAATAATGAACAGGAAAGAATATTGAACAGAGTGATATACTACAGGACTCAGTACACTTGTAAGGTGCATAAAATTACATGCGGGGACAGAGATGTATGCTGCAGTACTCAAAAAGTATGGGGTTCATGAAATTAGATCTGGATACCATAAATATATATATATATTATCACACAGTTGAATGTTGCCTGAACAGACCTTGCCTGAATGAATGTTAAGCAGTGCGTGACTTTAAAGTTCAGAAGATCTGTAAAATTCATGCTGCTTTTTGCATTATGCTTTACCACTACTAGCTAGAGGTTTTCCTGGTCTGGATTAAATATGTCATTGATGGAGTTTCCAGTTTTTGGAAATTTTCGGGAACATTCAAAACAAGTATATGGGAGCATTAGTTATAAACTTATCTGCTAGTACTTGAGGAGTAACCTAATTTCTGTGACTTCAGTACATTGAAAAACATAAGGCAAATAAACAACATAATATATGCTGATCAGCCAGTGGTTTATTTTTGCACTTTTTGTAATAATTTTCTTGGTAGTGGTTACAAGTATGATCAAATAATATCTTCCAACCTTTAAACTATAAATATATGCCAGTGAACATGCAAATTTGTGAGAATTTAAAGAAACCCTGTACCTTCCAGGTGTCACGAGTTCATGGAACCAAACCGTACCTGCCAGCTGATTACCTAAGGTCAAAGAAACTATCAGTTAAAGTGGATACGTACAGTTACGGCATTGTGCTCTTCGAATTGTGCACAGGTTTGAGGGCCTACGACGAGAAGAGAGAGAGAGGAAAGTTTCTGGTTAGTATGAGTTACATTTTGATATTTGCTTAGGAAGGCTGGTGGATGTCTATTTAGGGTTGTAATTAAGGAATAGATATATAATTTTTTTTTGTGTTGTTGTTTTTACATGCAAGTATGGATAGTGCTAATGGTTTTGTCTTTCATAATCATTGCCTTTCACTAATATGCATGTTTGAACTACACATATGCACAGGATCTTTCAGGGTATTTAAAATAATTTTCCATTGGGGAAACAGAAAGAGCTCGTGGATGATACAGCCAATGAAGAAACACTACGAGACAGAAATGCAGGACCCGAGTTAGACGGAGAAGTTTTCAAGATGCTCTTCAAGCTTGGAAGGGTAAGTATTTCTACAGGAAGTGTTTTGAAACCTCCCTCTAGCAAATTGGAAAACTTTTACTTCTATTTGTGGCATAGGATAGGAACCTTTTTTTGAGACTACATTCCAGAAATTCCTCTTATGTTCATTCTTTCAAATTCTTGTATACTTTTGTCTTCTCATTACTATTGTGGCTGCTAGTCAGATTATTTTATTTTTTATTTTCTTAATTACTTCTTCATTTGTGTATTTTTTTTATCTATTTTCTTTTTTTCATGAACTGGTAGAAGTAATGGTGTTTTTCCTCATCTACTTTTAGGACTGTGTGAAGTTAATTTCAACTAAACGGCCAGACATGACAACGGTCTTCAAGGAATTGGAAAGCTTTGGTCAAGTACTCGACAGGAATGCTCAAGCAAGAAGTAAGACATGACAGTTCCTCAGTTATATATAATCAATTGAGAGCATTTGCCGATATCCATCCTCCTCTCCTCCTCAAGTTCCCCCACCCCTCTTCCTTCCACTTTCTTCCAACACACATAATCCCCCTTCCCCATGTGCACCATTCCCTCATTTTTCCCCATTTTCCTTATCACTCCGACCTGGGTGCTCATGTGACTCCCTTCTGTCTTTCTTCAGATCCCTCCCCTCCTGATGTTCTTCCTGATACTTCACCACCTTCCCCTGCTCCCTTTTCTCATTTCCCCAATTCTTCTCGCCTTATTTCGCCAATACCCATCTGTAACCCGTAGTACCCGTTGATTTTTTTTTTTCTTTTGCAGTGTCCTTCTTCTTTCTCTCTATTTTATCTAATTGCCATACGCCCTTAACCCTTTCCTCTTTTACGAATCCCCAAGTCACTCCATTTTTCTCCCCCCCCCTCTTTACCCTTTTCACTACCATATTGTCCTATGATGCTCTATAAACTTTGGCATCTAACTCATTTTATCCCAATTGTTAACTTATTTTTACCCTTTTTGCCACAATATTTTGCCATAGTGCTATATCACCTTTGATGTCTAGGATAATTTATTTGTTTTGACTATTAACCAGTAACTATTTATTATGGCAGTGAAGTTCAACAATTTTTCTAACTTCAGGGTGGGGGAGGGGGATCTTTACTATATCAATCACTTCAGCTGTGTTAGGTGTCAGATTTTCTTCTGTGTGGTTCAAAGCTCCATATAGAAAAAAATGGCAAATATTGAAGAGAACTTTGTCAAGCATAAGAACTACTCATAACAGGGTTGAGTGAATGAATAGAAAATATAGTAAGGTGTAATGATACAAATGCAGTAGCCTCCCCAATCTCATGCAAAGAAAATATATACTAAGGTTCATACAGTTTAAAATAAAGTTATATCTTGGGATTAGAAACAGAGATGGTGATGCAAGTCATTTTAGTGTTAGTAAAAGTTTGGCATTTTTCACATGGTGGTGAGGTAAACCTGCTAGCTCTCGGGTATTTATGGCTGATAATTAGTTTACTCACTTGATCTGATACATCTACCTTCACAAGGAAATTGTTTGTACTGTGTGGAGTCTTAAGTTAGCAGTTCATGTAGAAAACACGTATATATATTGTTGCATAGTTTGCTTTATACAATGATAGGAATGTCATTACTTTGCAGATATTTAAGTTTTCAGTTTTACAAATATCTTTCAGTCAGATGGATATTTTTATGAAAAAAATGTGTTATACTATTGAAATGATAAACTGGAGTTAGTGCTTATTTTGTTGCTGAAATTACTGTCAGTCTGTGGATAGTTTCATAATCTCTTGTATTATTAATATTTATTATTGTCTTAATCCTTATATTTTACCCCATTTCAGAAATATCCTTAGGCGAAACAAGCTCAGGAGCCACAACGCCATACATGCTGCAGATCTTCCACGACACGGCTGGGTCGATGCCGTCCCCGTCTGTGTCACCGTCAACGCAGCCTTCCCTTGCGGCTTCAACTATACCAACTTATCCGTCTCCCTCTTCCCCTTCCTTCTTGCCACCGCACTCGCCGGTTCCCTCTGTTGTGCCAGGGAGCTCAGTCATGCCTCACTATCCACAACATCCCGCGGTGTTTCCTAATGGTCCAATGCTAGTCAACGGAGGAGTCCCTTACCGAAATCAGTATCCCCATGCAGGATCACCAGCCTGGAAGCCAGTTGTTGCAGGTAACTTGTATGTGCCTCAGCACGGTATGCCTGTCCACATGCCCCAAATAAACGTGAGTCCGCCTAAAAACGACAGTGCCGGGCAGGATCCACCGAGTTACAGTGAAACCATAATGAAGAATCCTGGTGGTGGTGCCATGGGAGGGGCATGTCCCGTGTCTCCACTGTTGCCCCAGGTTTTGGCCCTAGATATAAATGCTAAGTACTCGGGCAATACGACCGCCAGTTCTGTGTCCTCGGAAAGTGACTATGGCAGTTCTGAATCAAGCATGATAGCCACCACCACACACAATTTGGGTTATGCAAATGGCTACTATAATCCTGGAGGTGCAGCAGCAGCGCCTGTTATCCCAACAGTAGTCCACCCGGCAGCCCTTGCCTATAATGACAACAATCCGGGAGTTGCAATAACTCCCTTAATCACCGAACTGGGTATGAAGTCTGCTGAACAACCTACTCTGTCAGAGTCTTCCTCAAAATTGCCATCTGCTGTTGGGAAGAAGTCATTTTTATAGTTTGCAGGAAACTCATGTTTTACTGTTCAAATTCAGCACTTATGCAGTGCTCATATCTAGTATAGTGAAGCTTTTTGACAGATTTTAAATATTATTTATATAAGAAATTCTTGAAGTTGCATAGACATTAGAAATTCAAGACATAGGAGTTTAAATAAAAAATAGTTTTATTTATCTAAATAGATTTTTTTTTTTTTTTTTTAAATAATTGATTTCAGATGGATAATCTGTAAAACTAAGGACTTGTATGGAAGGTAAAAATGTTTCCTCTCGACAGACAGATATATGTCCAGTAACTGATTTTCAGTTATGGCAGTTTCCTTCCTATAGTTTAATACATACTTTAGCTATGTTGAAAAAAAAAGAAGATATTGAAGCATGTTACTTTTATATGTGCATTACTCTTTTAATAAAGCTGACTTGAATATTAGGATGTTAGGTAATCAGGTAAACATACTCATACCTGTTACATTCATGCATATATTTTTATGTATAATTACCATTAAAACACATTAGAATCTGTCAACCAAACTGCTAAAGCTACCATAGCCTGCTTGACTACCTAGTTCACCTCATGAGAAGTCTGAATCCTGGAAGGGCAGATGTACATTCTCTCGTCTTTGCTTATCAAACAATAGCTTAGCTTTCTTCGTCACAAACGTATTCAGTTGCTTTGTTATAAGACCTAGATTCAGTCCTGGAGTAAGCTGAATAATGTACTGTCCTTGTGTATATATATTTTTTTTTGTAATTGTTCTAGGTATACAGTAAGGTCAGTTTTGTATTGATTAGAAGTAATTGCTTTTGGAAGGTATGGAGACTTTTTATCTTTATAGATTTTGAGAAATGTGGTTGAGTAATCTTGTTACTGAATTATGTAGAGTAATTTCTTCATATAGGTATGTATAGCTGCATGTAGGTTATTTACATTTGTAATGTATAGAAATTGATAGGTGTATTTCATCCCCTTCATATATAATTTGTTATACTTTTATATAAATTCATTTTGTGCAGGTTACAAAATGCTTTTTTTTGTGATAAATTGTTAAATCGGTCTGCTAGGTTTTGAGGTAAAGGACTTCCTCATCTTTTCTCATGTTTGTTAAATGAACAATGATCTAATGTGTACAGGTGCTTCCTTGATTTTTGGTTTGATTATTTATATAGCAGCGGTCATATGAAATGGTTTGTTATGGAATTTTTGTTGTTTTATAACTGAGATAAGATATATACTGAATAGGATTTTACGCCTCTGTGAATCCATTTACAAAATAGAAAGAGGAAATATGGAACACTTAGTGGAAAATAAAATAGCAAGAAAGGGCAGGGTGATGCAGTGTGTTACAAAAGGGGTTGGGGGTAGTACAAATGATATTAATTTAGGACCTTTGACCTAATTACAAGTTTCTTTTTATACTTTTATTTTTTTTCCTCACTTGTCTTCTTTGATGGCCTTCTCTGCATCTTACACTATACTTGTATAGTGCAGTGCAAAACAATATTGCATCATAGGATCTGTTTCTTTGGCATTTATTTTCACCTAATACTTGTAAAAGGAAGGGAAGGATTTATGAATAAAATTATAATAAACTCTATTATAGTTCCTCCAGTTCTACTAAGCAGGTACTTGAGAACCATTTTCATCAGAGAGTGAAGATTGTTGCAGCAACTGATGATGCTTCTCTAATGAAGGATGACTGATGTAAAATTATGATTCTGCAGGCATGTTAGAGTTGCTAGTTGGGAAATGAGTTGTCAGAAGCATGTGTGTGGTGGTAGTACTGAAGCTCTGTCTTCCATCCACTAAGCTCACCAGCCATTTCTGGTTAATCTATTGACCTCATTTGAGTAAAGATGTAAAAGTAATTTGCAATCTCTGATCTCAAATGGTTTGTCACGGTCTTCTGTAACCTCAACCTAGACAATATATTTGTGCTTTCTTGACCATTACCTCCTTTTTTCTTATAAGGAGAAACGACTATATTTCAGACTTGAATTTGTCAAGGTATAACGTAATTCTATTTGGTGGATACTTAGTTTGGAACTAAGATATAAACAGAATTCTGTTTGGTAGATGAGTCTGTCAGTGGATAGTCACACAAGTAATGGTGCAGGTTAGTGTTTAACCTATCTTTAACCCTTTGCTGTCATTGGCATATGTGTACATGCCGTGGTATGCCGGTTCTGTTTTCCGGCGGCATATATGGTCATGCCACACAGGCTATGGTGGTGACACGATCCCCTGGCAATGGGATCCGGTCCACCATGAATACAGCCCTGCAGAGAGGGGTTTTGCATCGGGAAACCAACTGGTAGCATTGGTTGATCTCAAGTGCTCTTTTTGTATGCCTCTGATTTTCATTTCCCACATCAACCACATTTTTTTTTTTATGAGTGTAGATATAATTGCCTTTAAAATGCTCAGTAGATTAGATTAGATTAGTCTGAAAGGTCTGTAAGACCATAGTGATTTCACATCAGTTGAAAGTACAGTAATATTTATGCTTATGGTGCCTGTAGACTTTAGAGAAAAATATATCTGGATCTCCATCTATTGTACATCCTTCAGGCAGCATCAATCAGTTGCACATTATTGTATTAGACATTTTTCATCCTAGTGGATAAATGTACAAACCAGACAGTAGACAGGAACAAGCCTTTACATTATACTTGCAAATGCTGTTATATTACAGAATGGTATACTCTTTTCTTTTATAATTGGTTCTGAATTTATATACTGAATGGGCCAATAATATGCTTACCTGCCGGAGTCCTATTAGTTCAAAAAAAGGTATTTGAGAAAAATGTAGATGCATGAGAACTGGGTAATTTAAGAATATTCATAGAACATTATTTAGTAGTTGACAACCAGCAAGGGTTTATACTTATTAGCTTAGCATGTGTAGGATAATAAGAACTTGATTATGAGAGAGATCATGTATACACCCTTAAATTATTTTAAGAGTGGTGTAGGAGTAGAGTTTTGATAGGAAATCTGTTCCTTTTCTGGAGAGTTTATTGGAATTTAAGGTATTTTATAAACCAAAATATAAGTTTTAGGTATTTGTGTTTTGTTAGGAGACGAAAGTATTCAAACATTTTCTGTGATACAGGCATGATGAAAGTCAAGTACGTCATATTCTTTTTAAAAAATTGTCAGATAGCTGAAGAATTCACAAATATGGTTTGCTTTCTGCGCAATTCTTCAACGTTGGGTCTCGCAAAACTGAAACTATTGCTCATTTGTTTTTGTTTTTTTGTAATATTTGAGAAAATATATTTTTAAGTGCCAAATAATAAACCTATATTGTTACTGTGTATACATAATTTGACTAAAATAAAATGATTATATGAACCTACAATTTCCTGTACCCTTGTAATATATTATTAGAAAACTACCTAAGTAGTTCTTTTAGTATGGTACACATATAATAAATTCATAACTCATCAGGGAAGAACATATTTTAAATGACAAACCAAGGCAGGAGGGAGAGGGAGAGGGAGAGGGAGAGGGAGAGGGAGAGGGAGAACTCAGAGATGGAGACAAAGACAAATTAAAATAAAATTAGCCAGCTATTATTCATTCATGACAAAAACCAGTGTTGTATAATGAAATGAAACAGCAACGATTTTTGAGCAAGCCAATCTCACACATGGAAAAATCTAAAACAAAATGCATACCTTGAATCAATTTTACTATTCATATAACACGTAACTGATATATAAAAAATAATTTGATCTTCACACACAGATTACAAATAGTTAAAAGAAATGTGATCAAAAGAAATGCAAGTTGATTATCAATACAGAACATTTAGAAGGGGTGCATAGTGCTAAAAGAATGAAAACACTTTCTCTGTTTTAGTTTGATATTCTAAATGGTTAGCTTAAAAAACATACTAACTCCTTCCCTTTGGTTGGGTAAGTTTTACTTAAGTATACTCAAATAAATATTGTTAATTGCCAACCTCTCCTAACCTAACAAAAGGATGAGAGAAAAAGAGAGTAAAAATAAGTAACAAAAAGAAAGAATGATAAAAGTACTGAAGAAACATCCTATGAGTATCACAGATTTGTGTTACATGACAAGTAATGTTATTTTTCCAGTCATGCTCATTTTCTCCTCAAGTTTTGTATAAAAATGCCATAGGATCATATTATACCAATAATACAAACGAGAGAGAGAGAGAGAGAGAGAGAGAGAGAGAGAGAGAGAGAGAGAGAGAGAGAGAGAGAGAGAGAGAGAGAGAGAGAGAGAGAGAGAGAGAAAACAACAAAAACATAAAAAAAAAAGAAAAAAAGACAGGAAACGCACATCTCTTCATCTCGAAGCATAACTCCGCTAGAGCTTTACGTTCCCTCTTTACTCCCCCCGGCCTGAGCTTCCTGTTCCCGCCTGTATCTCTTGAGCGTCTGCTGGGTCCTCTTGAGAGCGATGTGAGCTTTCTTGGTGATCTTCTTTTGCGGTTGGTTTGGTAGGACCCTCTTCTCGATCATCTTCATTATGTCAACCTGTAAGGCACAATCAAAGACCTATACTTTAAAATCTATATTTGCAAAATAATGACATCTCTATTTGAAATGATTTATACATGCAAGATAATGATACCAATTTCTAAATGGTTATGAAAAACAAAACAAAAAAACATTAATATGTTGAAATGCACATGTAAGTCCTTCCCTGAAAATGATAGGGTTCTTACATGATGAGGGCTTCAGATAAGAGAAAATACAAGTCTTATATCTCTTCCTTGCTTTCTCTCTCTCTCTGTTCTGAAGGAGGAATGGGAAAGGAGGAGGTGGAGGAGGAGGAGGAGGAGGAGGAGGTAAAGGAAGGGGAGGTGGAGGAGGAAAATGAGGGGGAAATGAGGAGGAGAGGGAGGATGAGGAGGAGTTCTTGTTCTTTACCAGTTCATACGTAGACTACTATGAATTAATCATACGAAATAAAGTTTAAAAAGCCACACAAAGATATACCTATAGCACACACAAACGGATAATCCTGGAGTGACGATGAAAACAAAACGCATACATACTACTTCATAAAATACTATGAGTGAAATCCAACTCTGCATCTCAATGGCCTCACCTGATCTGGAATGTGTATGTATCTGATTCTGCGTCCTGACACGTGAAAATTGTCCAGTTTCAACATCTTTCCATTTCCATCTGTGTATCTCACTTCACTCATCTCAATATTCATTTTCCTGTCATAGAAATATTAATCAATTTTAAGAGTACCTTCCTGCTAGATAAAATCAAATCATAACATACTTCCAGCCGACAAATAGAAGAAAAATATATTAACCGACAGAATAAAGTATATAAATATATACACAAACAACTCAATAATAATAATAATAAAAAAATAAAGATAACAACAACAATAATATCATATCCTACTCACACATCAACTTCAACAATCCTTCCACATGCAAAGGAATCATTATGAAGTTCAACAGTTGTCTTCCAGCCCTTTAACCCCATGGCCAAGCAGGCAAGTGTGTTCAGTTCTTGCTGCCGTTCTCGCGCGAAGAGACTCATCCTTCTGACTTCTTAGCTATAAGGCAAGTTAGGTATAACACATCATAAATAAAAGTTTCAGAATTTTTCTATTTTCAGGTTGTTAACAACCTAAAAGTTAAAAACATCTTTTCAAAGACAAGAAATAACTCTAATATGCTTCACTCCCATCAAGCTTTGAACTGACTTCAATATTCAAAGGGATAAAATTATTTTCTTGACATTTTAATTTATCAATTGCTAAAGTAAGTTCCTGAAATGAAGTCTACTTGTTAAAGTTCAGAAGATGTTTATATTTAACCAAGCTGGAAGTAGTAGAAGTTGTAGGAAGAGAAGGAGAAGGAGAATGTGGTACAGAGGGGGGGGGGGAGGAGGAGGAGGAAGAGGAGGAGGAGGAGGAAGAGAAGGAAAAGTAGGAGTAGGAAGAGGAGGGGAAGGAGGAGAAGGAGGAGGAAGAGAAGGAAAAGTAGGAGTAGGAAGAGGAGGGGAAGGTGGGAAAGGAGGAGAAGGAGGAGGAGGAGGAGGAGGAGGAGGAGGAAGAGAAGGGAGAGGAGAAGGAAGAGGAGGAGGAGGAGGAGGAGGAGGAGGAGGAGAAGGAAGAGGAGGAGGAGGAGAAGGAAGAGGAGGAGGAGGAGGAGGAGGAGGAGGAGGAGGAGGAGGAGGAAGAGGAGGAGGAGGAGGAGAAGGAGGAGGAGGAAAATAAGGAAGAGGAAGAGAAAGGGAGAAGGGGGAAAGGAGGAAGAGGAGGAGGAGGAGGAGAAGGAGGAGGCATAGGGGAAGAGGAGAAAGGGAAGAAGGGAAGGACGAGGGGAGCAGGAGAAAAAGGATGAGGCGGAGGAGAAGGAAGAAAGGGAGGAGGAGGTGGAAGAGGAGGGGGAAAAGAAGGAAGAGGAGGAGGAGAAAGGGAGGAAGAGGTGGAGAAGGAGGAGGCAAAGGGGGAAAGGAGAAAGGGAAGAGAGGAAGGAGGAGGAAGAAGAGGAGGAGTAGGGGGGAGAGGGGGGAAAAGGAGAGGAAGGAAGTGAAAAAGGAAAAGGAGGAGGAAAAGGAAGAGGAGGAGGAGAGGGATTAAGAGGGGGAAGAGAAGGAAGAGGAGGAGGAGACAGATTCAGAGGGGGAAGAGAAGGAAGAGGAGGAGGAAAATGAGGAGGGGGAGGTGGCTACATGGCTTCAGTGCTCTGGCAAAGGCCAACTAATCTTCACCACATATATTTGGGCAAGATAGAGCTTGGATTTTAAGCTCTACCTAGCTATAATACAATATGGTAGAGGTTACTTGGCATTGGCTGGAGTGCTACAGGTGTTTAGGTTGTGATAATTGCTTGAGTTGCAACAGGTACAATTAAGGTTTGACTTTAGAATTTAGGCTGTAATTATTTATGGAGAATTACACAGAAAAATTAAGTCTTACGTTGCTATTATAAATAACACAGAAGACAATGTATTCTAATAGGCCTAAGTATGAGAAATAATTTACAAAATATAAAAATCTCAAAATTGCTTGGGAAAATCTGTGGATCTATACAATGAATCATTCCATGATCTCTGCATTTTGATATCAAACAATAACCAAGCACCAAGTAAAACAGCTTCTAGACCTGCCTGATTATTTATCATCAAACAGCTAACTGTCCTCAGACACACGTGGTGATGGCTCCTTGGTATTTGCCGGAGAAATAAAAATGGAGGTCATCTCACTTGATGCGACCCTATTGTAAACTAATACTATGGCTATCCACCAAATATCATAAGTATTGGTAAATTTTCAGAATATCTTTTGCATATTGGTAGTGATGCATTCCTCTCACCCTTTACTACTCAAATATATAGAAATTATGCCACTGAAACCCCTCCAATATCCACAATCTTGGACCCAATAGCAGGGGAGGGCATGATGGGTATCGGGGAAATTGCAGGGTAAAATATGAATAGGCCTCATATAAAAAGAATTGGTCAAAAGATACTCAAATGCAGGGGGCTATGCCTCCTCCAAACCCCAATGAGGGACTTAGCAATGGGTGCTCCTATATGTAAGTCGTAGGCTCTACTCTGCCATAAATACGCAGAGGATTCTTTGTCTTCTATTGTGGTGATGGGGGTGAAGTAGCCTCCCAGGAGAGGTTGCAGGGGCACAACCCCCTGTATTAGACAACATAGTAACTAATTCTTTGTATATTGTTAATAATCTTTCCCCCATAATTTCCCTGGTACCTTTCATGCCCTTCTCTGCTATCGAAGCCAAGATTGTGGGTAATAGACGGGTTCCGCGGCAAATGCCCTATATATTTGGATACTGGAGGATGAGAGGAATCCATCAATACCAATATCGACATGATCAAGTCATGCGAAAGTATATACCCAGGCACTGTGCATGTCATGGAGAAAAATACCCTTTAAATAACAATTCAAATGGCAATAACACTATCAACACTGAACCCATTAGTGTGTTCTTTTCAACCTTATTTTCAGTCACAGATTAAGTGCTTTTCACACTAATTACCTCTGTCGTTCTTCTAAGAATGTCTCTCACCTGTATACACATATATCATTAGGTTTTCTCTTCTCTGAAGTGCAAGAAGAGACGTCGCTGGGTGTGCAAGTTGAACAGAACTTCGCAAAAAATAACTTTGAAAGTTGTTTACTTTTACATGCTGTAGGGATCATGTGTATAAAATGCAGGAGTAACTTTTTTCGATACAGAATGACTTAATATATGCTAGTAGATGTCAAGACGCCTAGAGTGAAAATATTTTACTTTCTTAAGTGACTTTAGTATCAACAGGATAATATTCAATACTTTAGCATCACGATCCTTAGAAGTCATTGGGGTCTCTTGCAGGAATTGCAAAATTGCACGGGAGGATAAGGGAAAGAGCGGTGGGGGGGGGGGTACTTAGCATGATGAATTGCACCCACACAACAGCGTAAATGGAAATATGTGAGTGATTTAGGCAGCGAGTTCGTTTTTCTTTATTCGTAATATCTGAGAACCTAGGTGGTCTCTTGCCTACTACTGATATAGTTTAAAGGATTAATCGACTTAAGAATTCTGAAAATATCTCTTGAATGTAAAGAGAGAAAAAAAAAACTTTCTGCCGACATCACAAGAGGCAGAATTTGTAAATTACAATTATCGATTTTTTTTTTTTTTTTTTTTTTTTTTTTTTAGTTTTGTCAAAATTCATTGATATCCGATAAGCTTATCTGATATCAAATTAATTATGTAAAAGTATGCGTCAAGTAACAATACCCGTCTTTAAAATTTGCATCCGTCACGACACAATCACTTTAGAGCATCACACTGCAAAATACACCTAACCTTAGAGTATTATCTGAGTATTATCTGACAATTATATGACAATTCACCGGTCAGATTCAAGTATATGTCCATTCTCTCAATCATCCCTCCTAATCCCTTGCTTGTTGTTGTGTGTGTGTGTGGGGGGGGGGGGCTTAGGAGACAGAGGCCCAATGTAGGTGATCAGCCCTGTCTTGGCCCTCAGCCCTCGCTTTTAATTTTCTTTTCTTCTCCTCCTTGCCTTTTCCTTCTCTTCATCCCTTCTGCTGTCTCCTTATCCTAAATCGCTAACTCATTTTTACCCTTTTTCGCCACAATTCATTGTCTTTGTCTTTATAATGTCTGGCGCATTTGTTTGTTTTGCCCATTGGCCATTATGGCAAACCACAAACATCGCCTTTTGAACCAAAAAACTTCTTTACCCAATCGCTATATAATGAAAACGCCGCTAATGACCTTAGATGTTGACGCGGCAGAAAATTTTCAATAAATAAATTAATCAGTCCTCGCCCTCCTCTACCAGCCTATATTTCGTGAATATAAATGGTCTTTTGAAAGGTAAAACATTTTACCGTGTTGATACTATGGTAGAAAAAAGGAAAGGAAGGAAAGGGGAAAAAAACTATACACAGACTAGATTTACTGAAAAGTAATATAAGTTTCGAATTTTTTTTCTTTACTCATTTAATTATTTTCATATACTTATTATTATTATTATTATTTATTGTTGTTGTTATTATTTGAAGGGCGGTGGGCATGGCGTCCCAAATTAATAAACCAGTAGTTATTTCTGATGCGCCAGTTCATTTCCTGCACAATTTTTTTTTATAATTATAATTATAATTTAGTTTGATTCCATTTGTTACAATGGATATTCTTGCTGTGACATACTGTCTGTTTTATTTTGCTTCTAAATTATCCCCTGTGCGCAAGGAATGGCCGGGGTTACCATCCACTGGTGGCGAGGGATTCGAACGCAGGTCAGCAAGATTGCTAGACGAGATCGCTACCGCTGCACCACACAGCACACAAGTGTCATCTAATACTCCTACATTAGTGGTTTCGAACCTTTTTCGTGGTGCCGAACAGTGGTGAAACCCACATACCGGCCACAACCCTGAAATATAACATATATAAGTTTTAATGCAGTAAACATTAAAACAATTTGCGTAAGAATAGAAGATGGTATTTAGCAATCGTCTACAAATTAAGAAAAAAAAGTCGTCCACAAAATTAAATGCAACAGTAATGACTTATTTGTTTATTTACTTATTTATTTTATTTTTCTATTTTTTTTTCCTACTGTTCTTCCAATGCGTTTTGGAGACCCTTTGTTTAATCGATACCAGGTTAAGAACCACTGCCCTAGAGGATAACCTTAATGTAGAAAATGACAATTATGTAAACTAATAACATGAATAAATGATATGATTTAGGAGAATGGCGATTATTATGATGGCAAAATGTAAGTAATGATTGTGATTAGATAATGAATCTAATAATGAGGACAATAAAGATTAAAGTGAATGGTCAAACACTACCAATTTCCTCGATATATACGAAATGATGTTCCAAGCAGTCCAGTAATGGTGCCTCTTCGTCCTTTTCAGTGGCACCCCTTCGGCCCATCAAAATAAAACCCCTTCAGTCCTTCCAGTGATACTCTTCGGCCCTTCAAAATGGTCATTCGGTATACTCTTCGTTATTCCAGTGGTCCCCCCTTCGGCGCTTCTAATGGTTTGCTTTCGGGTTTTCCGATGGTTTCCCTTGGCTAGGTACCCTCTCGTCTTTTTTCTAATGGTTTCCCTTCTGTTCTTTTATCTGTCGATGCTTCTCTTGGTACCTCTTAATTCCTTCCCCTTAAGAACCTATACCTTATGCTATACCCCATCAGCTCACCGTCTCTACACATTTAGTTCCACACTACCCTCTAGTACTGTTTAATCTCTAACTTTACCCTAATCATTAACTCATTCCTAACCCTTTTCGCTACTATACTTTACCATAGTGCTTCACGACCATGATGCCTAACACATTTACTTGCTTTAACTATTAACCATTAACCATCTAGTGGTACTCGTTAGGCCTCTTCAGTGGTGTCCATTCCACTCTTGCTCACTCGACCCTTCCTGGAGATACATAGAGCCAAAAGCTGGTTGTTGGAGAGTAATGATATGAAACGCCAATCATGTAACTTGGTGGTTTTGTCCCGGGCACGTGTTTGACGTTGCTCAGTAGGTAGTCCATCGTTGGATAGGCAATTTCTCTTATCATACAGTTGTTTCATTACTTAGTGCCTTTTACAAGGGAGAATTTTGTTGTATTGTTGTGCTTTAATAAAGAAAATATAGCATCCATTCTACTAGGCATGATGTAGGTCTATGCACATTTCGAAATTTAGTTTTATGTACTCTTCTGGGGGCGTTTTGATGCATGCGTATTAATATTCCTGTATGGTAGTTAATAAATCTCAAATTGATAACAACTTCAACACTTTTCTCATCAGCTAGTTCCGTCTTCCTTCTATAAAAGTTCTTTATATAGAAAAGAGAGCTTCATAGGTTATATATTTATATATATATATATATATATATATATATATATATATATATATATACACATATGTATATGTATATGTATACATATGTATATATATATTATATATGTGTCTGCGCATATAAATACATATGTATATGTATGTATACACACATATATATATATGTATACACACATGCTCACACACACACACACACACACACACACACACACACACACATATATATATAAATATATGTATGTATGTATTATATATATATTATTCATATTCATATGTATATATATTTATATAGAAAAATGTATGTATGTATATATATAATTTATATATACACATACATGCATGAATATATATATATATATATATATATATATATATATATATATATATATATATGCATATATATATATATATATATATATATATATATATATATATATATATATATATATGTATATATATATATATATATATATATATATATATATATATATATATATATATATATGTATATATATATAATTGAAATTTGTATTTGAAGTACTGCTCTGCATCCTCTTGCAGAGTCTGGTTTCCCCTGAATGTCTGATTTTTTTTCTCGGTGATATCATCATCTCACGTTAATCGTTGTCATTGTGGTTAAAATCAACGTTGTAATGATACCAAACACTTAATTCTAACGTGAAAAAAAGTGTGAGTAAAGACGATTAAGTATAAATCACTTGCATGCGTTTACGTGTGTATATATATTTCTGATGAAGGTTTAATTGAAAGGTGTTAAGATGTGTTTTATCTTTTATTATTATTATTATTATATTTATTATTATTATTGTTATTCACATTTCTCATAATTACTTTGATTTTATTTTAATCTATTCTTTTCTTCTAATAAATGCGTGGTAGTAATCTGCTCTAGAGAATTTAACATTTAAAGAAAGTCAAGAAAAATAGTCATAAAAATAATAACAAACCTCGAAATGATTTATTATAGTCCATGAAAAGAAAATACAGACCCGTCAAAAATGCGTTTCTTGCGGTAATTCGTTAAAACCTAAAACAATAAATAGAATTATTAATAAACGGTCAGTAAAGAAGTTGAAACAAATCAAGTGTTTTAACCAAATTTAGGCAGAAAAACAAAAAACAAAAACACACACAAAGACTCATTTCAACGAATCTCCACCAACCCGATAATCAAACCGATCAAAACCCTTTCAAAAACCTCGAAATCAAAACGGAAAATCAAACCGATCAAAAACCCCTTCAAAAACCCCGAAATCAAAAACGGAAAATCAAACCAGAACGAACAAGTGGCAGACCTCCAAAGCACAGAACTGAAGCAAATAACACCAACCGTCGGGCTGCATCTGCCAATAGTGAAGTTCCTCTCATCCACATCTCTGGGGACACTTGACATTGTTGCGTGTCTCAAAACGCCTCATAAAATGTTACAGGTTATACTACTAGATGCCACAGTGAGACGCAGATTACTGACACAGGCCGATGACTTGAGAAGCAGCTGATGGCAAAACTCTCGCTAGGAACTGGAAGAAGCGATGTTTAAGAGAAGAGAAGGGGAGGAATGAAGGCGATGGAGGTCGAAACAAAGTGGCGAAAACAGATCTATCGAGAGAGAAAGAGAGAGAGAGAATAAGTTAAAAACGAAACAAAACAAAGTCGCATCAGGCGCATCGGCGGGTGGAAAGTTTCCATCTGTTTAGCATCGGAAACCAGTGATAAGCTATCAGATTCCTGCGGTGGAATTTAGC